TCTTTTCACCTTCCTTCTTTTTGTCTTTTTCCGTCCTATTGTCCCTTTTCTTTTCATTCACAATCTGCGTTTGCTTTTCATTTTTCTTCTCCTTTTCATTTTGCTTTTTCTTTTTCTTCGGTTTTCTTTACTTTTGCTTTTCTTTTCTGCTAATTGTCGTTTGCGATCTTGGCGAGTAGTATGAGATATATTGTTTCTATAAAGGTTATCTATAATACCATCTTTTAAAGAAAGGTATTCTTCATATGTCATTTTATCATAGTCCTCTTTTGTCCTAAAGACCTTACACGGATATGATATAGAGGGAAGCTCTTCTTCGGGAACATCCTCTCCCTTACTTTGTAACATCCAGTCATTAAGCCCATATCCGTTATCCTGGTGATAATAAGGGTAGGCTACATCAGACTTGTTTTTTCTCAGATCCATGGCTAGTTTTCAACGGTCGTCTTAGGGGGGTCCTTAGTTTTGGATGATTTGCTGATTGGGGTGGGACTTATTGCGTTGAGTGGGGGAGTCATCTGTAGAAATGAGAGTTTCTTTCACCCGTATAATGTCCCTCGCTGTTTGACTCTTTTTAAAAAGTTATTTTTCATCTATCATTTTCAAGCAAGCAGCAAGAGGTCAAATTTAAGAATAAGTAATAGTTTGTCATGATTTTACGGGGAAAAAGTCAGAGCGCAATGTCACATCTTAAAGACAGCTTGAACTGGATAGATGGTTAGTCTTTTTTCAAACATACCATACGTTCTGCATGTTAGTATATTTGGCCAATCGGGTTAGGCCCTACTGCCCCACTCCCTCAATAGGGAAGTCACGCTTTGGGAAAGAGGTGTTTAATTTCACAGATCTGACTTAATTGTTGTTGTGATGGCTGAAGGAAGAGGGACGGGGGAGGACAATTCAGAGGGTGAAGAAGCAGAAAGATAACTTGTTTGTAAAACGGACAGCACGTCAGTTTCAGGAAAGATGACACCGGTTTTATGCATGACATGCCAAATATCCTGAAGCCCTACAAAAAAGTATATTGTGTTGAAAATATCGCAAAAAGTCGTAATATTGTATAATGTAATAGTTGCATGTTGTATTTTGATAAAAATCACTGTATATTCAAAAATATAATGGAGAGAAAAAAATATATATATATCACAGTATGTTGAAAAATATGAAAAAAGTAATGTGTTAAAATAACATGAAAGAAATCAAAAGTAAAGTATCTAAAAACATATATTTAAAAAAAAGTAATGTTAGTCAAGTAATTCATTACAAATGAATGAATATTTTACCAAGTTATAAAGTTTTCCATACATAAACGTGTATCTTACAGTTCCTTTGTGAGAGAATTACGCACAAATTGCAGTATTTTATCTGTTTTATGTGCTCTATATATATATATATATATATATATATATATATATATATATATAATTTGTTGCACTGTTGGAGGAGCCTGTGACCTATGTTTTTCATTGACATATCTACACTGTAGCTAATGGGCATATGCCATAAAGCCTTGAAACTTGAAACTTAAAATTATCAGAAACTGCATTGTCTCACTGAAAACAGCTCTAAAGAAAACCCAATTCCATACAAAAGTACTTAACTTTCTACCAGTTGTAAAGTGTTGCTCACTTCAAAAGTGTATCTAAAAAAGTACCTTAGTAACAAAAACAAAAGCATTAATGTTAACAACGCCTCAAAGGGCAGACTCCTGAGTTCTGTAATGCCCCCCTACCATGGCATTTGGACTATTTACATCATCCAGGGCTCAACACCAGTAAATACAGCTCTCTTTATCCGCTCTCCAAGCCTCCAAGGGCGGGCTCCTGAGTTCCGTAATGTCCCCCTAACATGACACTTAGATTATTTTCATCATCCAGGGCTCAACACCAGTAAATGTAGCCTCATGTAACTTCATATAGGGATTCATTAATAGTTGTGTGAAGTAATTAAACAATAAAAAGACAAGATCAGGGGGTCATTAAGATCTTTAAATTATTATTTTCCTCTCAAAGAGACTTTGTTGTAGTTAGTAAAATAATTAAACATTAGTTCACAAGCCCTACAACTTAAGAGCACATCCATAGTTAACACAAATCATATTAAAACTAATCTAATTTAGAGAGGACAATAAACGTTTTAGGTGACTTGGTGAGTGAAAATTAATGGCTGATAGCCACATCAGGAGGTGACGGGCAGGGGGGAGGGGAGGGGTGGGAGGGGGTGTGAGGGGAGACAGTCTCACACATCCAGACTCCATTTTTCATGAAGAGCCTCCGACGGAGGGTCTGAACCCGGCACAGATACTGCGTCCGTTTCTTGACTAGAGCTCCCTACGGATGGCGGTAAGTTGTCACAGGCGTCTCGCTGATTAAACCCATATCGATGCGTCTCTTTGCCATTTTCGTTTTTGAAAGTTTAGGTGACTTGGTGAGTGGAAATGACTGGCTTTTTATCTAGTTTGCACGGATTTCTTTTTTTTACCTAGCTCCATCCCCACCTCTATCTTCTGACATCACAGCAAAAGGAAGGGGGGAAGGGGTGAGAGGGGGACGGGGTGCGAGGGGGATGGGGTGACAGGAAGGGGTGAGAGGGGGACGGGGTGCGAGGGGGATGGAGTGCGAGACATGTTACAACATCTCACCACCCTCACATCAAAGGACATACATCAAAGGCTAATTAGATTAGACATCAAAGGATCTACTACAATGGAGAATATCACACCTACATGTCACAACACCTCACCCCTCACATCAAAGGATAGACATCAAAGGGTAATTAGATTAGACAACAAAAGGATCTACTACAAGGGGGAATTCACACCTACATGTCACAACACCTCACCCCTCACATCAAAGGATAGACATCAAGGGATCAGACATCAAAGGGTAATTAGATTAGACAACAAAAGGATCTACTACAAGGGGGAATTCACACCTACATGTTACAAACACCTCACCCCTCACATCAAAGGATAGACATCAAGGGGGGCAGACATCAAAGGCTAATTAGATTACACAACAAAGGATCTACTACAATGGGGAGTTCACACCTACATGTTACAAACACCTCACCCCTCACATCAAAGGATAGACATCAAGGGATCAGACATCAAAGGCTAATTAGATTACACAACAAAGGATCTACTACAATGGGGGAATATCACACCTACATGTGATAACACCTCGAACAAAGGGGCTCATTAGCATATCAAAGGGGCTCATTAGCATAAGTAGTAGTACTGATGAGGTAGGTGTGACCTGTCACTTTTTATGCATACTAATGTGATTGAAACAGCATTGGTAATACTACTTATATATATATGCATATATGCACGCATATATATATATGCATATATTACGGCCGACCGGCTATTTGGAGTGGAATGCAGCCCATCCACGGCAGACAGCCCAAACAGTATTCGAATGCGCCACTTCCGGCTGACAGTGGCTGACCTCCGTCTTCGCTAAACATAACTCTCTAAAACGTGTTAACGTTCTTATTGGACACATTACGTGCCAGTGATCATCACCAATCAATCTCACAGATTTCGGGGAGGCCCCCCCCCTCTCCAGCAATAGATTGATCTGATTGGCAGATTCAAATCTGCATTGCCGCCTCTGTCTGTTGATTCTGTCGCTGAGTGTCAAAGAGAAAGCATTCATCAGGTGCTTCGAAACGGAAAATTAAAAAGAAACGAGAGGAAAATACAGCACGAGAGTCAGGTATGTGTGTGAGCATTTAAAACTATTTTAAATTGAAATAATTCTGCATGTACACTACAAGTAGTCTAGTTGCTTAATCCGTATGTCCCGTCTCTCGGCACTACAACAGCTACATTAGCTAACGTTAGTTAAATTAGCTATGTTAGTTCCCTCGTGTATGAGTGTGTAACGGGTCTGCAGCTTTGTGAACATTCAATTTAGAAGATTTTCGATGTTACAGTCAACTGAAGTCGACCCAAAACAGCCAAAAATAGCGGACCTTTAGATCGCTAACATTTTAGCATAAGTCAATGGAGTTTAACATAGCGGAAACCAGCCCCGCGGCTAACGGACATTTTCTGACTGGTGAAGATGACGAGCTAGTTAAGTAATGTAACCACAGTTAGTCTATGTGTTCTGATGTTAGTAACTATGTAGGCTAACATTATGTGTTGTGGACTAATGCATTCAAGTTAGTTCACATTTTAGTTGTTATTGCCACTGCTGACAATTGTGTGGATAATATGTAGCCTACAGTCAATGGAATTTCACATTTTGCTCTCCAGTGTATGTTATTTTAATGTTGACCCATAATACTATATATCTATATATTTTACAGGAGCATTGTTGAAATTCATAGGTCGAACGAAGCCTGCAGAACCACAAGTCAAGAGGACAGAGGAGCCAGATAGCAGTGGTGACTGAGGCAGAATAAATAAGGAGAGAGGGCCCATGCAGAGAGGCAGACATCAGTAGTGAGGAATCAGACCCAAAAGACACGAGGACAGAGGAGCCAGATCACAGTGGTGAGGATAATATATAGTAAATGTATGTTCACATATATACACAACCAATATATTATATATATTTACATATATTACTCAATATATGGAAAGCGGCAATTACTGATGTATTATGCCATATATTGCAATATATTAACACAATATATTATTCTATATATCAATATATTGTAATATATGAACACAATATATTATTCTATATATCTTCAATATATTTTGTAGATATGAATAAATATGTTTTTCATGTTGATTATTAATCAGTATCAGTTGGTGTAGCCAACAGCAAGATTTCCTTTATTAAATCTTTTCAATTAACCAGTAAATCAGAAAACAAAATAATGCAATATATTGACAGTTAATATATGGGGAAATATATTTTCTTTGCGTAAGGGCAAGTTCCTCCTGAGTGGAAAACTACTACAGCACTTCAACCCCCCCCCCCCCCTCTCCCCCCCATTTCCTCTGAGACTCAGAGCGGAAGTACCGAGTTCCTCTTTGACGGAAGTCACATCTGTGACAGTTGGTGTTCAAACTGTTGAATAAAAGGAGATATAAGGGAATAGCAGGCAGAACCAGGACTGAGGAGGACCAGATCAGCCGTGTTTCTGTGGACCTGAAGAGAGCTCAGCAGGTGAGGACCCTCCCACAGGAGTCTGTTACAACAATGAAAGACAATGAGAGCATTAAGAAATAGTGCAGCGGAAACACATTATAAAATAGCATTTAAAAACAGTCAAAGTCAAAAGAAAAGAGAATTAAATCAACATAAAACAAGCTAATATAGAACAACACAGGTATAAAATACATGAATAACAGTTACTGTTAAGGAATAATTCTTCTAGATATCTAACCTTTTACTCTGACATGTGTTATCTCCTTTAAGGAAAGGCCTTGGTGCCATATGTGTTGTTGTCACCAGTGTGAGACCGGTCAACTTGACCGGCACGAAGGGTAATTGTTGTGAGAACACTGAGGCACTTCTTTATCGATGTTTGTGGGCTCTAGGATGTGAAATCCTTGAGGCCATGAGCGTCGGACGCAGATGATTCAGTGTTTAGTCTACTCCTTCAGAGATGTTGATTTCTCTCTGTGAACCAGTTAAAAGGTCTAGCATAGAGAGGTTCTTGAGAATTGACGTGGCAACTCTACCGTGTGGTCAGAACCTCTGACTCTTTGATTTGTGATGTGAATCCTCCGGCCGAATACTCTGAATAAACCCATCAGTGTTTGACATCAAAGCTCCAACTCTCACCGTGTCTCCTTCCTGAGTTGGTGACTCCATGCATTACTACACAGAAGTTTCCTCCACAGTTACAGTGCAGTGTGAGATATGAATAGTTCAATTAAAGGGAAAGTCTTCAGCCTGGATTTAAAAGGACCTGCAGGACCTGTGTGTGTGTGTGTGTGTGTGTGTGTGTGTGTGTGTGTGTGTGTGTGTGTGTGTGTCTCCTGTGAGACTGAGAGGCTCAGTTATCTCAGTGGGTCTCAAACGATTTGGTCACCATTTAGGTAAACAAGTATTTCCAAGGTACACTTTTATATAATTATTATAGTTATACAAAAATTACAGAATAAATAATAACAGGTATGAAATACTATAGGACAGTAAACCAAACATACAGTTTTAAAACAAGAGTGATTAGTAAGGAGAGAGAGAGAGAGAGAGAGAGAGAGAGAGAGAGAGAGAGAGAGAGAGAGAGAGAGAGAGAGAGAGAGATAGAGAGAGAGAGAGAGAGAGAGAGAGAGAGAGAGAGAGAGAGAGAGAGAGAGAGAGAGAGACTGAGATTCAGGAGCCCAAACACACTCACAACTTTAAATAAACTAATCACTAAATAAACAAGTTTACATTATTTGTTATTGGCTTTGCTATGTTATTGGTTGTGGTCATATTCTAATGGTTTCTTGACTGTTGAAATATATACAGTTCTGTTTCATATGGGTCTTGAGAGATGTCTCCATAGATCTCTTAATGTTGCTGCCTGTCCAGGTAAGTTGTTGAGGCACTCATCATGCTCATATTTGTAAAACATTGCACAGACGTCAGGAATGGTAAAAGTTCTGAGGTCCTGTAGTGAATGCATTCTGACATGACCAGCAGGCTCTCTAGCGCCACGAGGCCACACAAGAGGGCCACACAACTCGCACCAAAAGTCCGATTGACTTGAAGTGTGGTCCACACATTGAGCTGAAGACGCTTTACAAAAAGAACTACCAGGCTCCGCCCACTCAGATGTGTTGCTCATTAGCATAATGTGAAAGCAGTTTAATGACTACAAACTTTTCCATTTTGAATCTGTCAACACACTACTTTGTATAAAACATTCGGGGACAGTCACACACATTACTCTTCAAAATGAGCAAGATCAGTCAAAAAACATGTTCGCCATAAATCGAAATGGAAATAAATGCTCGTACCTCATTGGATATGCTCAAACTTGATACCGACCCAGAGGGGCCGCTAAGATCAACACAAATGTGTCACTTTCTAACAGAAATTAAGAAAATTATAAATACATGCTCTGGGGGCGAGTATTAAATAAGATCTCATGTATCGTGGTGATTTAATAATGTGGGCGTGGCCTATGACGTTTTCTTAATTTGCCATGATCTAGAATAAGCTACAAACGCTAAACTGCGTACACACGTCACAACTCATGACCTTTAATAGAAGGTACAGAAAATGTGTACATTTCTGTTGAATAGCATTAGAAACGGGCAAAAGCAAGCAAATACGAACTCTTCCTAGAGAGTAGGTCGGAAATAAAAAATAATTCAGATGGAATTTCAAATGTAACGCTGAATTGAAAATTAATAGTCTGTAGCTCAAATGACAAGTTTGTAGGTCAAAAGAGAACACACCATTTTTTACAATTTTCAGCTAAAAATTGTCTAAACTGCTCCAAGTCCAGTCCTGAGGCTACCCAAGCATCAATGCCCAGACTAAGTCCTATTAACGCCTTTTCAAAGTGGAAAATATAGTAAAGGTGACTGGTGCGCATGCCAACGAGTGCAGGGGGGGGTGAGGGCCCGATCAACGCTGCGTGAAGCTTTGATTAAAGTTTGAATGCATAGAGTAACAAACTTACATATTGTAAGCAAATCTTTTATCTTTTTTTCTAAACATAACCAAGTAGTTTTGTTGCCTATGTGTTTAGTTTTGTCTCAATGAACAAAGTTAACCACATGTTTAAAACTGAGACATTTGGTCACTTCTGGGTGTGCTGTAATAAGTCTTGACAATCACAAAATCATGTTTAGGGGTCAACAAACTGAGTTTCTGTGTGGGCCTGGGGCTGTGTGACATCTGAGAGGAGGGGCACTAATGTGTCCTGTGATGTTCTTGTTGTGATGAGCATGTTGTTGTGTTTGTGTGAAGGTGGAGGCTCTGCTATGGACCAGTGTGAGGACAGAGAGGAGGGAGACCCCCCCTCTCTGTGTGGGGAACATGACAGCCAGACCAAAGCTCAGAGGTGAGATCTCCAACTGTCCATGACTCTTCTCCATGTCACAGCTCAGCACTCATTATTCACTCAAAGCTCTGTGTTGTGTTCCAGACCAGAGGACATACCACATTCTGCTGGACCTGGACCTGGACCTGAAGCTGGACCTGAACCTGCTGAACCTGGACCTGGACCTGAAGCTGGACCTGGACCTGTTGAACCTGGACCTGGACCTTTGAATAACAAAGAAAGTATTTTTTTGCATAAACCCATGTTATTTCAGATGTAAGATTATATAATATTTTCTGTTGGTATCTTTTGGATCTCTGCAGGGAGAAAATATGGCGACACTGAAAAAGATCCTCTTCAGTACTTTAGAACAATTGGGGAGAGAGGACTTTGAAGAATTCAAGTGGCACCTGCAGCTGGAGGTCCTAGGATTTGAAGGAATCCCAAAGAGTCGACTAGAGGATGCAAGTCGGACACAAACTGTGGACCATATGTTTCTGAACTACGGCATTAACACTATTAAAGTGACCAGAAACGTTTTGAAGGAGATTAATCAGAATCTTCTGGTGGAGAAATTATCAGAAATTCCATCAGAACCGACAGGTAAGTCATTAGTTAACAAATAGTTTTACAAACAGGGAACCTGAGGTCAGGCAAATCACAATGATAACATGGATTGGATGTGTCCTCCTGATATACCACACAGAGAAACACTACCTGTACATGGTGTCAGGGATTAGGTACCCCCATGACCCTGAAAGCTCAGTGGTCAGGGTCAATAGGTTCTTGCAGGGTCACTTTTTAGATCAGCTACTTAGAAAAAAAGCAACCCTATTAGGCAGACCAGGTCCTCATCCTGCAGCCAGGCACCGGGGTCTACACACCACTGGGTCTAAGGGTCCAATCAATGCCAGTTGGGTTGTAGGTGAAGGAGAGGAACATGGTATACAAACTTCAAACAGCCGTCACCTCTCTGCTGGGGACGGATCCGGTGTTGGTGTGGGAGGTGGAGCAGGACCAACTAGACAAAGTTGGGCTCACCTCTACACATTGAATCGGCTCTGGAAAGAAACTCCTGGATAGGGATTAGACTCTCTGCTTTTCCAGAGTTACCCAGGTCACCTTTGAGGTTATAAGAGTCGTCAGGTTTAGGGCCATGGTTCTCTGGTTGTTCATTCTGATTGTTCATTCTGGTTTCGAAAATATTTTTTTTCAAAGAAACATTTTTGGAAAGCAACAAGATACGGCGTCTTGATCCAAGGAAAATAATCTACTGTCTTGTCAGAAATGTGTAAAATTAGGAACCAAACTTGTGATGGTTCTTTTATGTGGAAAGTATCATTGTCTCAGTTGAGGGATTCTTTTTTTCTTCATTCAGAGATTCTCACTCAGTGCCAAGGGAACCTCAAATTCAACCTGAAGAAAAAAATTGAGAAAATCATAAACACGGGTAATTCAAGACCTCTAAATGAAATCTACACAGAGATCTACATCACCATGGGAGAAACAACAGCTGAAGAACATGAGGTCAGACAGATTGAAACAGCATCCAGGAAACCAGACAGACCAGAAACAACCATCAGACAAGAAGACATCTTTAAAGCCTCACCTGGAAGAGATGCACCCATCAGAGTGATGACAAAGGGAGTGGCTGGCATCGGGAAAACAGTCTTAACACAGAAGTTCACTCTGGACTGGGCTGAAGGCAAAGCCAACCAGGACATCCAGTTCACATTTCCATTACCTTTCAGAGAGCTGAATGTGGTGAGAGAGAACAAGTACAGCTTGGTGGAACTTATTCATCACTTCTTCTCTGAAACCAGAGACGCAGGAATCTGCAGGTTTGATCAGTTCCCGGTTGTGTTCATCTTTGACGGTCTGGATGAGTGTCGACTTCCTCTGGACTTCCTCAACACTGAGATACTGACTGATGTCACAGAGTCCACCTCAGTGGATGTGCTGCTGACAAACCTCATCAGGGGGAAGCTGCTTCCCTCTGCTCACATCTGGATAACCACACGACCTGCAGCAGCCAATCAGATCCCTGAGTGTGTGTACATGGTGACAGAGGTCCGAGGGTTCACTGACCCACAGAAGGAGGATTACTTCAGGAAGAGATTCAGAGATCAGGAGCTGGCCAGCACCATCATCTCCCACATCAAGACCTCAAGAAGCCTCCACATCATGTGCCACATCCCAGTCTTCTGCTGGATCTCGGCTACAGTTCTGGAGAAAGTGTTGAAAACCAGAGAGGGAGGAGAACTGCCCAATACCCTGACTGACATGTACATCCACTTCCTGGTGATTCAGTCCAAAGTGAAGAACGTCAAGTATCATGGAAAAAGGGAGACAGATTCCCACTGGAGTCCAGAGACCAGGAAGATGACGGAGGCTCTGGGAAAACTGGCCTTTGAGCAGCTGCAGAAAGGCAACCTGATCTTCTATGAGTCCGACCTGACAGAGTGTGACATCGATATCACAGAAGCCTCAGTGTACTCAGGAGTGTTCACACAGGTCTTTAGAGAGGAGAGTGAACTGTACAAGGACACAGTGTTCTGCTTTGTCCATCTGAGCGTTCAGGAGTTTCTGGCTGCTCTTCATGTCCATCTGACCTTCATCAACTCTGGAGTCAACCTGCTGGCAGAAGAACCAACAACCTCCTGCCTGCCTAAAGTGTTCAGAGACAAGCCTCAACTTAAACATCTCTACCGGAGTGCTGTGGACCAGGCCTTACAGAGTACAAACGGACACCTGGACTTGTTCCTTCGCTTCCTCCTGGGTCTTTCACTGCAGACCAATCAGAAACTCCTACATGGCCTGCTGACAGAAACAGGAAGTAGCTCAGAGATCAACCAGAAAACAGTTGAGTACATCAAGAAGAAGATAAGAAAGAACCCGTCTCCGGAGAGAAGCATCAACCTGTTCCACTGTCTGAATGAACTGAATGATGGTTCTCTAGAGGAGCAGATCCAACAGTACCTGAGTTCAGGAAGTCTCTCCACAGATAAACTGTCTCCTGCTCAGTGGTCAGCTCTGGTCTTCATCTTACTGTCATCAGGAAAAGATCTGGACGTCTTTGACCTGAAGAAATACTCTGCTTCAGAGAAGGCTCTTCAGAGGCTGCTGCCAGTGGTCAAAGCCTCCAGGAAAGCTCTGTAAGTGGAGATACAAACAACATTGATCAGTTTTAAAAATGATAAATAAAATAAATTGTGTTCAATGCTAATCCTTCCCCAGGCTGAGTGGCTGTAAGCTGTCAGAGAGAAGCTGTGAAGCTCTGTCCTCAGTCCTCAGCTCCCAGTCCTCTAGTCTGAGAGAGCTGGACCTGAGTAACAACGACCTGCAGGATTCAGGAGTGAAGCGGCTGTGTGCTGGACTGGAGAGTCCTCACTGTGAACTGGAGACTCTCAGGTCAGACCACAGGTTTTTTTGTTGTTGATAGTTTTAATTTAAAACCTGCTCATCCAGCTTCAGGTTCATGTTAATAAAGTTGGTCAACATCTGTATCTTCATGCTGACATAATCAAAACACTGAGTTTACTCTATTCCCTGGTTCCAGTCTCTCAGGCTGTATGGTCACAGAGGAAGGATGTGTCTCTCTGGCTTCAGCTCTGAGCTCCGACACCTCCCATCTGAGAGAACTGGACCTGAGCTACAATCATCCAGGAGACTCAGGAGAGAAGCTGCTGTCTGCTGGACGTGAGGATCCACTCTGGAGACTGGAGACACTCAGGTATGGACAGACAGACTGAACGTGTCTCTAATATCTCAAATGTCATGTTCTTCTTCTCATTTATGACACAGTTATTTAAATTATATTTCATTGAGTTTTTACACCCTCATTGACGGCTGAGTCCACTCTACTCTTTAAGAGACGCAAGTGATCAACAGTGGTTCAGTTTGGATTGTTCTGACTGTGTTCGGCTAACGGCTAACAGAGCTAAACTCACCGCAGGACTCAGATTCTCTGTTCAGAGGTTACAGGCTTACAACACAATATGCCAGTTATGTTTTATAATTGTATCTTGATTATTTACTGGCCTGCTTTGGCCGATGATCAGCATATTACCTAGTCGCTGATAAACTTATGATCGACACGTCCAGGTATGCATCCTTTTTTCTCCTCATAATGCCATCATGAACATCACATTCATGTTGATATCAGCAGGAGGACAGCTGGTAAACTAAGCCGTTAGCTGTTAGCCATTGACTGTAAGCAGGTAGCTGTTAGCAGGTAGCTGTTAGCAGTTGGCTGTTAGCAGTTAGCCTTTAGCAGTTAGCTGTTAGCAGTTGAATGTGTACGGGATGCCTCACTGCACATTATCCCGCTTATTACACGGCTACATGATAAACAAACTAACTACTTGACTCCCGATATGAATTCAGATGATTTTATTGACTTGAAAATTATGGCCATACCGAATAGCAGCCTAGTCTAGCTTCTCCCCCGGTAAGAGATTCATTTTGCCTCGTTTAATTGCCAAATAAGAAATTTGAAATAGTTAACTGGGCGAAGTTGGGAGGAAAGGATGGACAAAAGAAAAACATTGGCTCAGAGTCTACCAACGAAGAAAATACAACGAACAACTCACCTGCACAGGTCGATGATGATGAAGCTAGCGCAGAGCTGCACGTGGCTAGCTTAGCCAAAGTTCTGGAGGAGATACGGGACTTCCGCAAAGACACAAAACAACAAATAAACTAAATGAAATCCGAGCTTACCAACGTCAACGTTAAAATAGAGGAGGCAGAAATGAGAATTGAAAATGTGAAAGGTGCTGAGCAAGATGATAAAGGTAATGAATCAGCAAGAAAATAAACTGACTGACCAAGAAGGAAGATCCCGACGGCAGAATTTAAGGATTTATAATGTCCCAGAGGGAGCAGAGGGGTCATCTATGGTTGACTTGGTGAAGAGTTTACTACAAGAGGCACTTGAGATCCCCCCCGCCACGGAGCTCGGCATTGAAAGAGCACACCGGGCACTCGTACCAAGGGCCTCCGGAGAGAGGGAGGACAAGCCGCGTCAAGAATGATCAAGTTTCTCCGATACTTAACTAAAGACGATATTATACGCAAGAAAAAGGGTGTTTTTGAACGGGAGACAGATATATTTCGACCAAGATTACCCACCAGCTATTTTTCAAAAACGTAAAGACTACTCCGAGGCAAAGCGAGTGCTAAGGCAGAAAA